GAGGTGCAAATTTTACAAAATAAATGAATAAAAGACTATTCTGGGAAGGTGACAAGCGCTGAGAGAAAGTAAAGCTGGGGAAATTCCCTGGTGGTCCAGAAGTTAAGAATCCAAGGTTCCACTGCAGAGGACATGGGTTCAATCCCTGGCTAGGGAACTAAGAACCTGCAAGCCACGTAGTGAGGCCAAAAGAAGTTAATTAAAAAAAATAATAAAGTAAAGCGAAACAGGAGCTGGGCTCTGCTAGGAATAGGAAGTGGTATTTCTAGTTCAATTGTCTTATTTCATCTTCACGGCAACCCTGTGTGGTAGATACTAGTCTAATGCCCCAGCGAGGAGAATAAGGCGTAGAGATGTTATATGACTTCCCTGCGGCCACATAGCTTGTGAGTGGCAGGGCTCGAAGAGGCAGAGTCTGCCTGACTCTAGAGCAGTGGGAGTGGAAATCACTGCCTCTCTTGGCCTTTTCCCACATTTATGGGTCAAGAGGGGGAGATGGACCCTCTTCTGGTACTGATGCTCAGTGAGTGTTTCTTTGATTACAACACACAAGGCCCAAGGCCCAGCCCGTTGGAAGGTTGTTGGGTCATGGAGGGAGGAGACCCCCCTCTAAGGGGGACAATGAGTGAGGACGGATGGTGACTTCCAGGTGTGGACAGATGCAGCCCAAGGAGGGGTGTGTATCTCGTCATTGTCTCCAGGGAGAGCTTGGAGGGTGATGTGGCTGTGGAGATACTGATACTAGTGGAAAGACAGTTGGATTTGTGGATGAAAATGTAGATGAAATTCTCTATTCTAACTCCTGGAATCTCATTCTTGGTTTGGTTTTTCCTCCTCTGGTTTTTATTTTTATTTTTTTGCCCTGCCCTTCAGCTTGAGAGATTTCAGATCTTCAACCAGAGACTGAATCTGGGCTTTCAACAGGGAAAGTCCTAACCACTGGTTGTTGTCCAGTCACTCATTTGTGTCTAACTCTTTGCAGCCCCAAGGACTTCCCTGTTCTTCACTATCTCCTGGAGTTTACTCAAATTTGTGTCCACTGAGTCGATGATGTTAGCCAACCATCTCATCTTCCGTCATTCACTTCTCCTCATGCCCTCAATTTTCCCCAGCATCAGGGTCTTTCCAATGATGCTCTTCACATCAAGTAGCCAAAGTGTTGGAGCTTCAGCTTCAGCAGCAGTCCTTCCAATGAATACTCAGGGTTGATTTCCTTTAGGATTGACTGGTTTGATTTCCTTGAAGTCCAAGGAACTCTCAAGTGTCTTCTCCAGCATCACAATTCGAAAGCTAGCCACTGGACAACAGGCAATTCCCATCTCCCCTGCTTTTTATTAAGAAAACTTTCACATCTACAGAAGTTGAGCAAACAGTACAATGAAAGCTATTGGAAAGATGGCTTACAATTTGCCCCATTTACTCCCTCTCCACACAGACACAGACACACACACACACACACACACACACACACACACACACTTATTTCCTTTTAATTTGCTTATGTATTTAGGCAGAGCCATTTGAAAGTGAAATGCAGATATTATATATACTTCAGCATGGATCCCTTAAAGACAGAGATTCTTCTACATGATCACAACATGTGTCACACCTAAGAAATTTCACATTGCTCAGTGAATATCTGATATAAAGTCCATATTCAAATTTCCCCAGTTGTCTGCAAAATATCCTTTATTTGTACTGTTTTTTTTTTTGAAGGAGAATCCAATTAACAATCACATTCTATATTTAGGTGTCATTTATTTTTATTCTCTTTCTCTCTGTTTTCTTTTTGGCTGCTCCATATGGCTTGTGGGATCTTAGTTCCCTGACCAGAGATTGAACCTAGGCCCTTGGAAATGAGAATGCAGAGTCCTAACCACTGGATTGCCAGTGAATTCCCTATTTTTATTCTCTTGGATATAGAACAGTCCTCCTGCCTTGTTTTTTCTTTCACAATATCAGTATTATGTGAGTCTACTAGTTGTCTGGTAGAACATCCCACATTCTGAGGGACAGTGTGAATCAGAAGAGGAAACAGTGAGTAACTGAGGGCCCAACACATGCCCAGAACAAGGCTGGGCAGCATGAGGGGATCCAGGGTTAAGACTGATCTCTTCTGTCCTGGAACTCACTGCTAAATTATGTCACCTCCCCCAGGAAGTCCTCCCTGATAGACACTGCTGAGTGAGTTGCTCCTTTTGCAGTGCTCTTGGCACTTGCACAGCACCTTGCAGCTCTTGGCACTTTGCCACTCTTGGCACCTTGCAGCACTTGGCGCACAGGTTTGCTGCCCCTTCCACACTGTGCTGTAGTTAATCTTGTGTCTTCTTCTGCATGAAGCTATGTGAGTACCTCCAAGGGAGACCAGGAGTTAGTCCATGCCTATATACGTAAAGGGCCAGGGGCTCCACTTGGGTATTTAGTTGTGTCTTGCACAAAGGTACCTGATCAAAGCTGGGGGAGAGGTGACTAGACTCCAGCCAACAGTCCACTTGCCAGCCCTTGGGCCCTGGTCCTGGGCTGCATCTGCCGGGAGGAAGGAACCCTTTTCCTAATTTGCCTAATGGAGACACACACACCACGGCAGGCTCACTTCCCACTCTGCCTGCATTCAGCTGGTGCTCAGTAAACAGTGGTCACTGAAATGCATGCTAGGGCTGGGAAGAGATGTGCTGGTGACTGTTCTTTGGGGGAAGAAACTCTGATTTGTAACTTTTGCTGATTCCCATGGTATAAATACTCCCACAGCAGCTGATCTCAAGCTGCTGAGTTGGGAAGAGAGACTCACAACCGATTTTCTGCAAGTCCCTAAGATGTGACTCCAGTGTACCACTGCAGTTTGACATCTGTAATCTTTTTATAAAAAACAATTTGTTTATTTATTTAATGTTTGGTCGTGCTGAGTCTTTCCTTGCTGCCTGCAGACTTTCTCTAGTTGCGGTGAGCGGGGGCTCCTCTCTAGTTTCGGTGCTCAGCCTTCTTTTTGCGGCGGCTTCTCTTGCTGTGGAGCACGGGCTCTAGGGCACGCGGGCTTCAGTAGTTGTGGTGTGCGGGTTCTGTTGCTCCGTGACATGTAGGATCCTGCTGGACCAGGGATCGAACCTGTGTCCTCTGTGTTGGCAGGTGAATTCCTATTCAATGTGCCACCAGGGAAGTCCCTTACATCTGTAATTTCAAAACTGCATCTGCAGCAGACTTTGAAGAGAGAGAGAGACAGACAGACAGACAGAAACAGAGAGAAATGGAGAGAACCCAGGTGGAGAGAAAGGGAAGAGAAAAAGGGAAGAGAAAAAGGTGATAACTGATGGGGAGCCAGTGAGAGGCAGAGACTCGACTTCACTTAAAAGTTTGGGGCCTCCTCAAGAGTGAGCAATTGCTTCATTCAGCTCCTGTGCAACCTATGTGAAGGAACTTGCTTAAGGGGAACCTAGACCAGCGGCCCCAGACTCCTGCCGTGAGCCACTTACCCCTGAGGCAGAGCCTCCTGATCCTTCTGCTCTGCTTGTGTGACCTTTGACCCCAACAAAGAAAGCCCAGAGTGGGTGTGGGGTTCCGCTGCCCTGGTCCCTTCACACATGCTGTTCAAGTCTTCTAAATCCTACCAGCCCCCTTTAGAGCTTGACTCAAGTTTCACCGCCTGCACGAAGCTGCCTGTGTCCACGTCAATCCCCTCCCCTCAATACAGCTTCATGTGCCCGTGACTTAATCCCCCACAGGCCCCCTCCCTCCCACCAGCATAGGACCTGACTCTTCTCCTTCCAGACTCCAGCCTCCTTCTCTCCTGCCTTGAGGCCTCACCTGGACAAATCCTTTTCCATCAAAATCCTCATCAACTGACTTACCTGACCTTCAGTGACAGATGAAAATACCCCAATGAATGAATGGGACGACACTGACTTGAGCATCTACTACGTACTAGGGAGGGACTTCCCAGGTGGCGCTAGCAGTAAAGAGCCTGTCTGCCAACGCAGGAGACCTAAGAGACCCAGGTTTGATCTCTGGGGGAAGATCCCCTGGAGGAGGGCATGGCCACCCACTCGGACTTGACTGAAGCGACTTAGCACTGATGAATATGCTGGGGAGCTAGGAGCAGTGTGGACGGAGGTACAGAGTAACTTAACATTCATATGCATGAGCCCAGAACATCATCAGGTCACATAAAGTATGTGTTTGAAGTATGGAGGGGGGCTTCAGGGAGGATCTCAGAGGAGGTGGCCTCTAAGGTGAGGGAGGAGGAGGTATCAGCTAGGCAAGGGGGTGGGGGAATCGGGGAGGTTTGGGGCAAAGGAAGGAAGCATGGAGGAGAATCTGGAATTCCAGGAACAGTGGGTAGTTCAGAAAGGTTGACATGGACCATGATGGGATGCGGAAGTGAGGGGGCGAAGGATGGGCACATCTTGAAAGGCCGTAACAGCCACGTGGGGAGCTACTGATTCCCTGGTGCATATGCCAAAGGGGTGGAGAGATGTTGTTGAGGAGGAAAAAGAGGCTGGGGGCCAGCTGAGGCTCGGGGAGTGGGGAGAGGAGGGTGGAGGAGTCCCTCCAGGAAGGTGAGAGATGAGGAGAGGGGCTGGAGGAGCAGAAGGAGGGATGGCTCAGCTGCTCCTGGTCCTTCAGACAGCGAGATCCTGGACCGCCCTGTGCAACCGCCCCCAAGTCAAAATACAGAACCTAGAAAGGCTGCAGAAGACTTCTCGCTCAACTTGAGTAGAGAATTGAAGGAGATGAGGGTGTGTGGATAGCTCCGGGAAGGGCATTCCAGCCCGAGGGACCAGGAGGGGCAAAGGCCCTGAGTGGGATGTGTTGGAGGCCGCAGGTCGGGGGTGTGGATTCTGAGGTCCGAGAGGCCAGCATAGATCACATCAGGCCGGGATCCTCCATCGGCCACAGTGGATTTTCTCCAGGGGTGATGGGGAGACGTGGGAGAGTTTGGAGCAGGGAGTGAGCGTGTTCAGCAGCCCAGTACCCCCTCACTGCTCTGTCCCCAAGGCCAAAGCACCATGGACAGTGGACTCAGAGTGACCCGGAAAGGACGGAAGCTAGGCTCCAGCCGCCGGCGGCAGATGCGAGAGCCAGCTGATGGCCAGGATGCGCCAGTGGCCCCCGAGCCAGAGTCCTGGTCCTCCCAGTCCGCTGAAGAACTGCAGCGCTTCTTCCAGGACTGCGGAGCCGAAGAGAGGGGCTTTGTCACTCGAGAGGATCTGGCGGTGAGTCCAAGACCCCATCTCACCCCCCGAATCCCTTTGCTTCTGCCTTCTGAGACTCCCCTTCCCAGGAAGGCAGACCTTTCCTGCTCTTTTCCCTTTATCTCATCTCAAATTTGCTTTTAGGAAAAGCTAGGGATTTATTTACACTAAGGTGGGAATGACTGATAAGGTATTCTGTGTTACCCTCTTCCAGAAACACTTGCATTTTAATAAAGGAAAGGTTTTAAGTTAAAGAAAGAAATTATAGATGGTATAATTTTAAGCCCATTGAGTAGGGAAGTTTATCTTGGGGAGCAGTCAGGGCCCTGGGAATTAAACCTTGTTAATGTCTGCAAACTTCAGTGAAACAGATCAGCCCATGTTGTACATGCCAATAAGGGATCTTAGGCTGTGGCCTAGACTGAGATTGGCTGATTTTTTTGTTTGTTTTTTCTTCATTTTCTACAAAGGGTCCTATGTGAGTTGATGGCATCTCACTGGACTTGCTGTCTCCTCCTGATTTTGCTCCATGCTCATGTCCTTTCTCCATCAAAACTGACCCTTCCTATCTATATTCTACCCTCAGAGCCACAAAAAAGTACAAATGGCTGATGTTAAAATATAATTTTCAAAATGGTAAGGAAAAAAGACTTTTGAGTAAATATAAAATCAATACTTATCAAAGATCTAGCTAATTCATTATTATTATTATTATCAATCAGTGAGGGACTCAGTATGATGTTATGACAGGCTCAAGGAGCATTTGAGAAGCTGCAAGTATTTATGGGCAATTTGGTCTTCCCTTGTAGCTCAGTCGGTAAAGAATCTGCCTGCAATGCAGGAGACCTGGGTTTGATTCCTGGATTGGGAAAATCCCATGGAGAAGGAAATGGCAACCCACTCCAGTGTTCTTGCCTGGGGAATCCCCATGGACAGAGGAGCCTGGTAGGGTATATTCCATGGGGTCACAAGAGTTGGACATGACTTAGGGATTAAACACCACTATCATAGGCAATTTGACAGGAGTGTTAGGATAAGTTTGCTGAGTTCATTTTTGAAAATGACTACTGTCCAACAGGCCACAAATCCTCGGGGTTGTCTGTACTACTAGAAAAAACTTATTTGCAACTCTCCTGGACAAAATCTACAAGTTAACAAGTAACTTCAATATGTTGGACTTTTCATGAAAGGTAAACAATGAGATGAACTAAGTGCATTCCTCTTGTCTAGACAAGGCTTGGGTAGTCTTTACTCCCATATAATATTGAAAGGATGTGCTGTGTACCTTTTCACCTTATTTCCAAATGTCCAGCAATTTCCTGTGATCATAAATCATTTCCAAGGTTTACTCTTGGCATAAAAAAGGCTGATCTCATTCAGTTTGGCTTGATCACTTCTGTAGGTGTAGTGAGGGTGCAAATAAAGCAGGTGGGTCTCCTTGATTGGGCTCTGCAAGTCTGAAATTTTGCAGTATTGAGCCATTTTTAGCTTCTCTCCAGGAGTTTTCATATGGAAGCTTAAGTTGAAATTTTAAAACCTCTGAAATTGACTTTTCTATCTAGAGTGCCTTTCTGTCTCAGTTTGCCTGCACTGGAGGGTTACCTGGGATGTGGGACTTCCAGTGTTAAAACTGGGAAAGTCTTGGGCAAACTTAAACCAGCTGGCTTCCCTACTGCTATGGAAACCAAGCGTAAGGTTCTCTCCACTAGTTTTCACCTACACATGTGAGGGACTTCTCTTTTGAGGTTCTCAATTTTTCTAAGGTCCCTCTCCTGCCCAAAAGTAACCTTTCACATTACCTGTTTTCAGGCCAGCTTTGCAGGCATTGCATCCATGAACGCTCCTTATAGTGGACTTGTCACACCTGATTAAATGAGAATCAACCTTTAAATCAACATCTGGTTAAACAGTTGGTCTATCCAACTGTATCCCAGTAAAAGGAAGGACAGATTCTTACGGAACCTGTGTAAATAACTATATTGCCAGAGAAAGGAAGGAGATTCAGGGAAAGTATTGGTTTTTGAATCAGGAAGGGATCAGTGAGATTCAGATACCACTTAAAATATAAAATTTCAGCTTGAAAGTGAAGTGAAAGTGTCTGACTCTTTGCGACCCCATGGACTATATAGCCTGCCAGGCTCCTCTGTCCACGGGGATTCTCCAGGCAAGAATACTGGAGTGGGTAGTCACTCACTTCTCCAGGGGATCTTCCTGACCCAGGAATCGAACCCAGGTCTCCTGCATTGCAGGCAGATTCTTTAATATCTAAGTCACCAGGGAAGCCCAAATTTCAGTTTACAAAAGCATAATCTCCTAAACTGAAAATTAGAGATAGTTCAAGAATCCAGACAGAGGACTTTCTCATAATATCCATAAAAGTAAAACAATAAAAATTGCTACTGGAACTTTCTTGGTGGTCTGGTGGTTAAGAATCCACCTTGCAATGCAGGGGATGCATAATAGTAATAATCATACCAACTGTATTCCCAACAAATAACCATAACTCAGTTTTCTTCAACCATTGATTTAGTTCCATGTGATTAATTCTTGATCCACTGGACCTTGGGTAAGCTGGCTGCTTCTGGACTGAAAAGAGTTCTAGCAACTGTAATCCATTGGCTCAGTCTGAAGGTCAGACTTAGAACTCTTGTCAGCTTAGAACCCTATATCCAAGCCAAGCAGCAGTAGTTAATAGAACCTGGTACAGGCTGTATTAAGGCTTTGACTCTGCACTTTGTGGAAGACACGAACTGAGCTGGTTTGTAACCAAGCCTTCAGGGTAGTTTGGAAAGGGTAGGAAAGCAGAAATGTGTTTAGTAATGAGACTGAAAGCCTGTGGCTTGTGTTTTTTTTATTTTTTTGCATTTTTTTATTGGCGTAGAGTTGCTTTACCATGTTATATTAGTTTCTGCTATACAACATCGTGAATCAGTCAATGTATACACACATCCCCTCCCTTTTGGGCTTCCCTCCCACTCCCCCATTCCACCCCTCTAGGTCATCACAGAGCACCAAGTTGGGCTCCCTGTGCTATATAGCAGCTTCCCGCTAGCTTTTTACAGTAACCTAATAGTGTCAGAATGGAAGAGGGTAACATGTTCTGTTGGAATACAGTATATAACTATTTCATGAAGTTTGATCAGTATTTCCCCTAAAGAACATAGTCTGCATAGCAAAGACATTGAGAAATCTCTAGGGCCTTTCCCTAAAGCATGCAATTTATGAGATATTTATATAAAGGCTTTTTACCTATGTAAACTTAGCCTAGGAAAGGCTGGATATCTCTTCTGATCTGACAGTTCTTCCCATGATGCTCTTATAATAGTGATGAGGTATTTAACAAATAAAGAGAATGGTATCTTGACATTTTTATTTTTTCTTCTAAATTTAGAATCTGATGTTGGAAAGGCAAGCCCAAAGAGATATCAGAGAAGGTAGGGCACTAGATTAAGATAAAATCGTGAGATCCTGAGAAATAGTACTTGGTTTCCTATTTAATCAGTGACAATAAAATAAAGCATTTTGAGATAAAGAGAAGAAGGCAACACTTCTGCTGTTCAGTCTCTAAGTTGTGTCTGACTATTTGTGACCCCCTGGACCCGCCAGATTCCTCTGTCCACGGGATTTCCCAGCCGAGAATACTGGCGTGGGCTGCTGTATCTTTCTGCAGGGCCTCTCCTACATTGGCAGGAGGATTCTTTATAGCTGGGCCACCAGGGAAGTCCAACTCTATAAGAAGGCAATACTATTGCAAGTTTACTTAGCTCTTTTATATGGGAAGTGGCTTTGCTTTCTGTTTTTATGAAAATTAGAACACAATTTAGCCAAAACAAAGCAGAGAAAATTCTGCTGAGACATGGAAGCAGTTATCCGGGCAACATACACAGAAGACTAGTAATAACCCTCTTTTAACCCTTGCCTGGAGCTCTAAGACCAGTTTATCACTTTAATAAAGATGGAGCCAAATTCTAATTTTGTATGAATAGAACATGTGGCAGTCAAAGTTTCACAAGTTTTCTTTCTTTATGTATAAACCCATCAAAACTGAGCCAAATTTGTCAAAATGTTAACATAAACTTTATAGCCTATTTTCAGACTCAGGTATTATAAAATCAAGGCAAATAAGATTCCCTCTCAACAAACCCTCTACAATCCCCCATATCCATTCAGATTTTGCCAGATACTTTAAACAAAAACACTTCCTTTATCTCCTGGAGAGCAAAAACATATCCCATTTTCCTTGCAGACACAGTTGTTTTTCTGTCACTCCTGTTTCTAGTATCAAGTAAAACACTGTAGTGATTATAACTTTTAACAAAGTAATCGGCTTTTATTTCCCAGAAAAAAATTGATGGGTAAATAATTGAGAACTGTCTTGGACAGAATTTTAGTAAACTAGCAAAGCTCACAAAAACACATAACACAACTTTCTACAGTCACACATATGCCTTGCACAACTTTAAAAAGTTGTGACAGAATATATATAACATAAAATTTGCCATGGAATGTGTCCTTGTATTGTATTAATATAAGTTGTGGGAAACACAGACTGCTATTATTTATCAAAAGATAAATAAACCAAAATTATAAAACCAATCTAATTGATCAAAGATTCACCTTAATTATCTGAACCTGGCTCCTTAAAAGTTTTTTGAGTTAGCTAGCTCTCATAAGAGGAAATTTTTTTTTTTAAGCCCAGCACATTTAAAGCCTTAGAAGTTTGGCTTCTTTATTTTCTGTGACTTTGGGGGCCATTAGATTTATATAGACACTTATTTGTCTCTACAAACCAGTCCACCCAGAGCCCCTGTAAGGGACGTAGTACTCTAAGTCATTAATACCCAGGTATAGAAAAATGCTCACACTCACAATGAGAGTTAAGGGCCTTTCTGAATTACAGACAGTGTGGCTTCTTTTCTACAACTCCAACCACAGTTCAAAAGTAAACACAGAAACACAAAAACTCTCCAGTTCAGATTTCAAAGAGCTATTCTCCTCCCCAGTGGGCACAAAATTCTTAACCGATTTGAGGTCATTCACAGAAAAACAAACACACCACCACCAACAACAAAAGATTAGCAAACCAGATTTTCCACTGTGTCTCAACCGACAGACACTGGGTCTCCATCATGTATTCCATGGAGATCTCCAAATGGTCAGCCCGTAAGACAGAATCCCCATCGTGGCTACCGCTAAAACCAAAAGCAGAAAATCTGTAACATCAAAAACATAAAAACTGGAGAAACAGAATCAGCAAACAAAGTTCTATCACACTTGGGTTTCCCTTCAAGAGCCAAGGAAAGCAGTGCCCAGGACTTCCCTGATGGTCCAGGGTTAAGATTCCGTGTTCCCAGTGCAGGGGGCCTGGGTTCCATTCCTGGTCAGGGAACTAGATCCCACATGCCACAACTAAGACCCAGCACAGCCAAACAAATAAGTAAATAAATATAAATATATGAATATATATACATATAAAAGAAGTGCCTGTGTTCCCAGAGCCCGTTTAGGGCTCTTTTCCAGCAATGCAGCTTACTGGGTTCTGAAGGCCGAGTCCACTGTGGCATCTCCATGGAACCTCCAAAACTGCTAAAGCAGGATTTCCAAGAAGATAAAATCATGACCCTTAGACAAAAATAAAATGAATCTATACCAGAGATTTTATTTAACTCATTTATTAATGGGAGATGTTCTGAATGGTTGAAAGAGCATTTTGAAAAGCAGGATAACTTAACAGGGAAATGTTAGAACCAGGTTGCTGAGGTAGATTGCTTAAAGCTGGTTAATGTACAACAGGTCATAAATCTTTGGGATTATCTTGTTCCATCAGGCAAAAGTTATTTATACCTCTCTTGAACAGAATCTACAAGTTAACACGTGACTTCATTTAGTCTGGGATCTCTAATCAGTATCATGAGACAAAGTACATTCATAGAATCTAGAAGATGCTTGGGTGGCCTTGGCCCCTGTAGAATACTGAAAGGGTGTGCTGTCCATTTCGGGGACTTGTTTTCCAGTTTTAGGTCATTTTTGAATAGTGATAAACATGTTGTGGGGAGGATTGGCTACTGTCCTTTTTTAGAGTCCTAACAGGATGAGACTCAGAAGAGGTAGGTTTTGACGCTGGATGGAGGAAGAGAAAAACTGAGGATGAAGTTCAAGGCTCTGCTAGGGTCCAAGAGACTCAAGGGCCGGTCTTGAAGTCAGGTTGAGGGTTGGACTCTGAAAATGGGGAGGGGGAGGTGGGGGTGGCTGAAGATAAACACTCTCCTTTTCTGAGAGTGGCCCAGAGCCTTCCCTAGCAGGAACAGCACTCAACTTACCTCTATCCTTGCAGGCGGCCAAGTTCAGCTTCCTGAGCAGCGAGGATGAGCTGGAGATGATCTTTGACTGGGTGGATGTGGAGCGGAAGGGACGCCTCTCTCTTGAAGAGTTCAGCTCCGGGCTCAGTATGTCTGTCCTGGGGGGGCCTCCTGGGGGGTGTGCCGAGCACAAGGCGAGGCTGAGTGGTCAGGAGAGGCCGCAGTGATGACCCATCTCAGGACCTTCACGACGCCCCAGAGGGCACTTCTGGGTGTGGATGACATACGGATGACCGTAGAGATGAGAACACTAAGCCTGAATGGGAAGCCAGCTGGTTCGAGGCAGAGCTGAGACTTAAGACTATAGCCCAGGAGACCTCACTTTCTTTCCAACAACAAGAGCACATCATTGCTGGGAGGGGGGTGCGGGGCCTTGAGCATTCCTCTCCTCCAGAGAGGCCTCTGGGATTGCTTTCTGGTGCCTCCCTTGTCTTCTCCCCAGTAAAAGCTTTCCCTTGGGCAGGAGGTTAGACACCCCCTGTTCTTGAGACCACAGGCCTTGTTTCTGCCTGGAGAAGGTCATATTTTGGTTTTGGTTAAAGGAATATGAGGCCCCAGGGAGTGGCAGAGGGTGATATTTAGTGGGTGGAGGCTCCCCAGACCCTTAGCTCCCGCTAGGCAGGGGAACTCCAACATTGGCTTCTTAAGACAGGCCTAGAAGGACCTAGAGACATCAAAGCTGGAAATGCACAATATTCCAGCTGAGCTTGATGGGGAAGACCTTTGGTCCAGGGAATGGAAGGAGTGGTGTCCTTGTAGAGACCCTGAAAAGGAATGTCAGCCTTTAACGTAGCCAAAGCCACCCCTAGTTCTTGGGTCTGCTGAGTCTCCAAGAGTTTGGGAGACAACAGAAAGGGGAGGCCAGGAGTCTGCATTTATAGGTTGGGCCCTCCCAAGAGACGGTTGCTCTGGCTCTGGTGATTGAGAAGCTGGGAGCAGGGAGGGGAAATTAGGGCCTGGAATCAGGGGTGCAGCAGACGGAACACTGTTGTCCATGTAGCCCCAAGGGGCCATCTTCACATCTGTGTCCAGCCATGTCCACGATCCAGGGGACTTCCCAATGCCTACAAAAGAAATTCAACTCCCTTCCCAGGGCTTACAGGCCAGCAATGCTGAGACCCTTCCAACCTCTTAGGCTCATTCAATACCACTCACCTCCTCCAGCCTGCCAATCTAGCTCCTACCTCAGGGCCTTTGCATGTGCCGTTCTTGCAACTGGAATATGCTTCCCAAGAAACCCACATCACTTGCTCCTTCCTTTTAGTCACATCTCAGTTCCAGGGTCACTTCCTCAGGACCCTCCTGACCACCCTCTCTAAAGTAGACCCTGTCTAGTCTCTCAATGGAAATTACCCTGTTCCTTCCTTTAGCTCACTTGGAAAATTTATTTATTTATTAAATGTGTCCTTTTCGGTATTCATAGAATGTCGGCTCCACCAGGGCAGATATTTTGGCCAATTTTGTCCCCAGCACATAATCGATGCTCAATGAATATCCCTTGACCTAGTGAAAAGAATGTATTGGCCATCGTGGAGCAGTGGTGTGACTTCTAACAAGTCTCTTGGCCTCTCTGGGCCTCGGATGCTCATGTGTAGAATGGGCACTGGGTCTACCTTGCATAGACTCCCAAGGTTGACGTGAGGAATGTATGACCCTGGCCCTGTATAAATGTGACTGACGCAGATAGACCCATTTCTCCAAGGGCCGGTGCAGGGCAAGGTGGGAAGTCAAGCGATGGAGCCCAACCCCACTCTGCTCCTCCTGTCCCCCTTTGTCCCGCAGAGAACATCTTTGGCTCCAGCTCGAGCAGCCACAGGCTCCACAGAAAGAGGCCACTGCTCTCCAAGCGAGGATCTGTAGTCACCAGCTTCCCGGTGGTGGAGGAGGCCAACAGTGAGGAGAAGGAGGCGTTCTTTGCCTTCATGGAGCAACTAGGAGCCAGCAACTCACTTCCTGAGTAAGGCCAGCAGGGTTGGGGGTGCGGGGGCAGGCACCGCCTGTCAGAGGGGGCGAGATCTGGCCCAGACACGGGATCAAAAGGGAGCTGCCAGGCAGTGTTGGGCGGATATCCTGGTTTGGCCACTTGTTAGCTGTGCGACGGCAGGCAAGTAGCCAAACCCCTGACCTGCGTTTCCCTGGCTGCGGGGTGAGCAGAAGAACTGCTGTGGGATTAAACGAAGGCCCGGGTGGAGAAAGCCTACCCACTCTGGTCCATCCCACTCAAGCCCTCCCTCCCTGTCCTGCCCTACAAGGTCATTCCCCAGAAAGATTAGCAAGTTGAAGGATCAGCTCCCTAAAGGGACACCACAATCTTTTTTCTTTTTTTTGACCACTTCACGTGGCATAAGGGATCTTGGCTCTCCAAGGATCAAACCTGCGCCCCCTCCATTGGAAGTGCAGAGTCTTAACCACTGGACTTCCAGGGAAGTCCCAGGACCCACAATTGCAAAAATACAAACCTCCCAAGGGTGCCTTTTCCCCAAAAAGAGGGTCTCCCAGTGGAGTGATTTCAGGTGTGGTGATGCTCTGAGTTGGGCAGGCTTGGAGACAGGAGGGCTTGGAGATGGTCTTGGGCTCTGGGATTTTGGAGTTCACTCATGCTTAGAGAAAGGGACCCTGCCTGAAAATACGCCTGGCACACCCCTCCAGGTCCCACTGGCTCTGTTAGAACTAGCAAGGGAATCACCCTCACCCATCTGCCCAGGTTTTCCCAGGTTCCCCTGCCCCACAGGCTCTGTGAGGACAAGCTCTCAGAGGGTGGGGCAGGCGCTGTGGGGAGGCAGGGTGGGACTGGGGTACAGGCTGGCGGGGCAGCTGTGGTGGCAAGAGATTTACCTACTTGGCAGCTTGGCCTGGGCTCAGCCCTCAGGCATCTGTCTTCACGACTTAATTAAATCCACGTGAAGCAGCATTTATTGAATGCCAACTCAGTGCCAGAACCCAGGCTGGTGCTCTGCACTGGGTGAGGCTCATTCTCCAGTGGCATTTTACAAATAAGCTCAGAGAAGTCGTGGAACTTGCTGAAGGTCACGCAGCCACAGAATGGGAGAAGAGAGAAGGCAGATGGAAGCTATGGCCCATCAGACTCCCAGATCCCCTGTGCCCCACAATGAATCGCCAAACTGTAGAGAGACAAAGGGATGTGGGGGTTCACGAAGGGATAAGGGCAGAATTGGGAGAGGTTCCTGGAGGAGGCGGCACTTGAACTGCAGCTTGCAGAGCGTAAGGAGACTTTTGTGACTTAGCTGCCCGAGTCTCTTGGAGTGTGGCCATTAGAACCTAGGAGTGGGCTTCCCTCTGCCTCCTGGTCCCGCTCAAGGGTGATCTCTGGTCGTCCTCCCCTCCCAGGCAGGCGGAAATCTGGCAGCTATGGAGAATGCTGCGGCAGGAGGAGCCCCAGCTGGCAGGCAACCTGGAGGGCTTTCTGGCCAAGATGAACAGTCGCCTGCAGGAGGCACGGGCCGACAAGGAGGTTCTGGAGCTGACTCTGAGGAAGTGAGTTGGGGCCGGGTTGGCACACAGTGGATGCTTTCTACATTAGCTGAATCTTTTATTTTTGGCTGTGCTAATGGCCACATGTGGGATCTTAGTTCCCTGACCAGGGATTGAACCCGCACCCCGTGCAGTGGAAACGCAGAGTCTTAACCACTGGACCACCAGGGAAATCCCTTAGTTGAATCTTAAGTGAATTTTCTTAGCTCCAGAAGAATGGAGACCAGGGGTCCACAGCAGAGCCTGGGAGCTGGATCGGCAGAGCTGAGCTGGAAGAAGGGGTAACTAAGGAAATCTATTGGGAAGGACAGAGTGAGGCTTTCAGCCAAAGAGGGGATGGGCCAGTGTGTCCTGGTGCAGGGCCACTGGGGCACCTAACTCCAGGGCACCACTCACGTAGATTGCCATGCATGTGGTGATCCTGGGGTTGGCATGGGCTCAGTCTTGCAAGGGAGTCTGTGCTTGGGGGTGGGAGTGGATAGGAGGATGGTGACAGCGGGAAGTGGGAACAGAGTGATGGGGTGATTGGGGACTGTGAGACAGGAGCCAACATCCCGATGATGGTTACGGGGTCAGCAGGATGGGCTCAGATGATCCATATCAAGGGCCTATGTCAAGGTCAGGAGCTGTTACTGGGATGACAGTTCTCAGGGTGACAGGGGTCAGTGACCACTGGCAGAGTGAGCTGAGCAGTAGGGTAGGCTCTAAACGCGGGCCCAAACCGCCCCTGCCAGCAGCAGGGTGGCAGGATGCTGCCTGGCCCCCCCTACCCCTTCCAGGAGGGACACTGACCATCACCGCGAGGTCCAACAGCTCTACGAGGAGATGGAGCAGCAGATACAGCGGGAGAAGCAGCAGCTGCAGGCCGAGGTGAGCCCCCCAGCCCCAGCTGGCCTCTCCCCCAGCCCTGGATCCCTCTGCTGCCTGCGCAGTGAGCCCAGGTCTGGCCAGCGTAGGGCAGTGGGAGGCTGCTGCGAGCGGATCGCCTTGTCAGAGAGTTTGCTCAGACAGACGGGGTGGGGGGCGCTCACTGCTGCCAATTCTCGGGGGTCCCCCGGGGCCACTCCTCCCACTCTCTGGGCCTCTGTCTCCTTGTTGCCTGGGCCAGGGAAGTTGTCCTGAGACCCCCATCCTTGTAGACACATCCTGAACTGGGCGCTCCAGGCCTGCGTGGTGGTGGCATGTGGGGAGGGCCGACCCAGCCCAGCTGAGTCTTGGACTCAGCCACACAGGGGGAGCTGAGACCTCTCTACTCCCCAGAGCGACTCCCGGGGCCTGGCCCTCAGCTCCCAGATGCAGGAGGTGCTGGAGGCCAAGGAGCGTGAGGTGCAGCGGCTGACCGAGGGACAGAAGGAGGTGAGTGACAAGGGCTCCCCTGGAAGCCCAGTTTCTGAGGATTCGCGTACGCTGACACCCACCTCCAGAGGGTTCACTGGGCTGCTGGGCTCCTGCATCCGAGCTGGCTCCCTTGGGAAAGCGATGTCTCTGGCCCTTTTGCTGTGATGAGGCCAGGTAAGGGCAGTGGCAGCTCTGGGCACGAATCAGAAGGTCCAAGCTCAAATTCTTGCTGTTTCAATTAAAAGCCATGCGAATCTTGGGAAAGAGCTTTGCCTGTCTTGGCCCTAGTTTCTCCATCTGTATAATGGGAATAGCCGCATCTACTGCAGCTCCCCGGCTAGTTGTGTCAAAAGAGGTAATAAATGGGAAAACCCTTCGAAGCCAGAAAGCACCGGGCAAACACAAAGTTGCAACATTGGAGAGGCTTGGTGATAAGCTGGGGCTCAACTCTCATCTCCATTGTCAGCTGAGTGACCTTGGGCAGGATTTTAACCTCTCTGAGCCTTGGTTTCCTCATCAGAGAATTGGAGATCAGAACTTTTGCCTTAGGAGGCTGCCGTGATGATTAGACATACTGTATTTGAGGGCCTAAGGTGGTGCCTGGCATGTAATAGATGCTTTATATTGACTTGGACAAAAAGCGTGTTTGGGTTTTTTTCTTAACAACTTGTGGTAAAACCTGAACAAACTTTTTAGCCAGCTCAATACATCATAGTCGCTACTATCTCTGGACCTGACCTAGCTTCCTGGTTAGAATACCTGCTACCCCAACACCCCAGGTCTCATAACCTGTAATCACTTCCAGTTGGCATTATGCTAAGCCTTTGGGTCTGAGACCCACCCTCGTTGTCCCTTCCTTCCTCAAATTTGCAGGCCACTGACCTTAGTAAAATCACCATGTGTTGTAACCAGGACAACCAGCTTCCCTTCATCACTGGACCAGGTTCCCATAACCTTCTCTGCTGTTTCTCTAGCTGGTCCTGTTACCTGGGCTCACCTTCCTGACACAGGTTGATCTCCCAGGAGCCTCTGTAGTAGCTGCCCATCAGAGACTGAAAGTGAAGTGAAGTGAAGTGAAAGTCTCTCAGTCGTGTCTGACTTTGTGACCCCGTGGACTCTACAGTCCATGGAATTCTCCAGGCCAGAATACTGGAGTGGGTAGCCTTTCCCTTCTCCAGGGGATCTTCCCAACTCAGGCATCGAACCCAGGTCTCCCGAGTTGCAGGCGGATTCTTTACCAGCTGAGCCCCCAGGGAAGCCCTTGTGGATTTGGAGCCTTGGAGGTTGAGGCGGGCCCCTTTTGGTGATAGAGGAGGTTGGACTTTCAACACAGCACCATTCTGTCCTGTCCCCTGTGGATGTGAAGCCTCTCCCCCAGGGCCATTCATTCCTCCATCCAACCGCTATTTATGGCCACTCTGTGCCAGGCATCGTGCTAGCTTCCAGGGAACATAACAGACACATATCTCCTGCTTGTGGAGTTATTGCCTAGTCAGGGAGATGGATGATAAACTAAATAAGCAGGTAAAGTCTATAACATATTAGATACTGAAAGTGCTAAGGAGAATAAAGTAAAACAGGGCAGGAGGATAGGAGGGTTTTGAGAGGAGGGGTCAAGGAAGCCTCACTTAAGATGATGACTTTGGAGTAAAGGCCTGAAGGAGGTGAGGAGTGGGCCCTGTGGTATCCGAGGGAAGAGCAGTCCAGGCAGAGGGCACAGCGAGTGCAAAGGCCCTGAGGTGGGTGTGACGCGCTGTGAATGTTCAAGGACCAGTAAAGGGACCTGGGGGCTGCAACAGACTGAGGGGCCAGGGAGCGGGGTAGTGGGAGAGGCGGTCAGAGATGTAATGGGGGTGGGGTGGGGGGAGACTATGTGTCCTGGAGGTTATTGTAAGGGCCTTGCCTTCTATTCGGCATGGTCAAGCAGCTTTCTGTCTCCCGGTCTTGTGACCGGCCGTTGGACCAGGAGCTCCTTACCGACCACATGGGCTCAGAGATGAGCAGCCGTCTCAGAGCGCTGAGCAGCGGAGGGTGTGGTCCCGGTGCTGCTGGCCGTCTGTACTTCTTACGCAGTTCCCCACTCCCCTCCCCATCCCGATAGTTCCGTTGTCTCTCCCGGGTGGGAGGTAATGGAGCTAATTAGGCCAATGAGGGGGTAACACTCGATCCTATGATTTAAGCTGGGATTCCAGGAGCCTGGAGTCGGTGCCCCAGCATGGTCTTGGGAGGCTGTTTAGTTTCCTTGAAGGGCAACTGGGGTTCTCTCCCCCTCACCCACCACCTCCTGCAGCTGGAGGCCCAGCTCCACCGTCTCAGCAGCACACACCAGGAGGCCAGCTCGGAGAACCGGCAGCTTCGGGAGGCTGAGCAGGACCTGGCTGGGCGGCTGGAAGAGGTGCGGGGGCAGCTGCAGGTGACCAGGGGGCAGCTGGATGCCGCCAGGGGCCGCGTGTCCTGGCAGATGGAGGAGGAACTCAGGCAAGTAGCTGCCACCCCCGGGCTGGGCTGCGGACGGAGGGCTTCCTGCAAGAGGGGAGAAAGGGTTTGAGCTCTCAGAGACTCTGCTCAGCCTTCAGAGCTCACGATGCAAGTGAAAAGTGAATGTTAGTTGCTCAGTCATGCCCGACTTTCTCTGTGACCCCATTGACTGTAGTCCGCCAGGCTCCTCTGTCCGTGGGATTCTCTGGGCAAGAATACTTGGAGTAGATAGCCATTTCCTTATCCAGGGGATCTTCCCAACCCAGGTATCGAACCAGGGTCTCCCTCATTGCAGGCAGACTCTTTACCTTCTGAGCCCCCAGGGAAGCCCCACACAGACTCCCTCCTTAAACCTCACAACAACCCCACTGGGCTGGGATTGTCGTGCCCGTTTCTTAGACAAGGGGGCAGAGCGGGGAAAATCATGTGCCTGGACACACATGACACGTGACTGGGATTCACGCACACACACACACACACACGCGCGCGCGCGCGCACAGAGGCTAAAACAGTGCTGGATCCTTGGCAGAGTGGGATGGGCTGGAATGGCAGGAAGGCTTCCTGGAGGAGGTGAGGCTCCACATGGGCCTTGAAGGATGAGCAGGATTGGATGAGGGGAGGGGTGGGGAGTGAGAGCCAGGTGAGAAGCCCTGCTGAAGGGGAGACTGAAGGGAGGGCTAGCTGTGAGGTGTGCGCCCAACATGAAGGATGCACACAGGATGGGTGTGACAGCTACCTGCCCCTCCCCTGACCCTAGCTTCCCGCACCCTTCCTAGTGTCCCCAGAGCAGGTGAGGAGAAGGCTCCAGATGCTCAGGCAGTCTCCTGCGAGGAGGCTCCCCTGCCTGGACTCTTTGGGGACAACGATGACTGGGACCAGCTCCTCAGCGGCATCAGCAGCACGCCCCTCAGTGCCCTGCAGCTCTGTTGGAGCCCGCCCCCCACCCCGAAAGCCTCCCCAGGCCCGCCGACGCCCCGAGAGGTCAGGCAGATCTCCATCTCGGAGCCACATGCTCCTCTGTTTGCTCAGGAGCCCTCTTCAGATCCAGGGGGCTCTCCAAGGAGCCCCCCTGGGGCACCTTCTGGCACCGAGGAAGAGGAAGGAGTGAACCCAGATGGGCTGGACATGAGCCCTTCAGAGCAGACTGGAGAGCCCCCCAGCCCAGAATCTAGGGAGGAGTCAGAGCTTGGCCCTGGGGCCCACATCTCCTGGGGTCTCCCTGGGGTCCCAGCTGGGGAGTCAGGGAGCCTGGTGGCAGCTGCCCTCGAGGTGCTTGTTCCTTTGGAGGATGGGCCCCCTCCTCAAGTGACCTCGCCCCCTCCCCAGGCCTCAGCTGGGCCCAGCCCACGGTTCCAGACCTCACACTTAGAGCCACATGTTCCTCTGTTTGCTCAGGAGCCCTCTTCAGATCCAGGGGGCTCTCCAAGGAGCCCCCCTGGGGTACCTTCTGGCACCGAGGAAGAGGAAGGAGCGAACCCAGATGGGCCAGACACGAACCCCCCGGAGCAGACTGGAGAGCCCCCCAGCCCAGAATCTAGGGAGGGGTCAGGGCTTGGCCCCAGGGTCCACTTCCCCTGGGGTCTCCCGGGGGTCCCAGCTGGGGAGTCAGGGAGCCTAGTGGCAGCTGCCCTCGAGGTGCTTGTTCCATTGGAGGATGGGCCCCCTCCTCAAGTGACCTCGCCCCCTCCCCAGGCCTCAGCTGGGCCCAGCCCACGGTTCCAGACCTCACACTTAGAGCCACATGTTCCTCTGTTTGCTCAGGAGCCCTCTTCAGATCCAGGGGGCTCTCCAAGGAGCCCCCCTGGGGTACCTTCTGGCACCGAGGAAGAGGAAGGAGTGAACCCAGATGGGCTGGACATGAGCCCTCCAGAGCAGACTGGAGAGCCCCCTAGCCTGGAACCTAGGGAGGAGTCAGAGCTTGGCCCTGGGGCCCACATCTCCTGGGGTCTCCCTGGGGTCCCAGCTGGGGAGTCAGGGAGCCTGGTGGCAGCTGCCCTCGAGGTGCTTGTTCCTTTGGAGGATGGGCCCCCTCCTCAAGTGACCTCGCCCCCTCCCCAGGCCTCAGTTGGGCCCAGCGCATGGTTCCAGACTTCACACCCAGATGACGAGGGCCCTGACCCTGGGCCGGTCCCACCCAAGCCGCCCCGGCAGAGAGAGGCCCTCCTTTGGGACCCCCATTCTGCTGGCTCTGAGCCAAGGCCGGTGTCCTCGGGAACCGGAGCCCTCCCGGTGGGTCTGGGTGAGCCCTCCCAGGGCCTGGTGCCTGGGGGTTCGGCTCCCATGGATGGATCGGAGCAGGGCAAGCGGAGCCCAGACGCACAAGAGGGCCATTCAGGGGAGCTGCGGGAGGCTCATGGCCGGGTCCCTGGGCCGCCCGCTTTCCTCCCCCGGAGCCTGGAAGAGGAGCCCGGGGCTGAGGAGAGGAAAGCAGAGGAGCAGGGAGGCCAGCAGTTCAGGTCAGAGCTGACCATTGAGGTTCGTGGCCTGAAACTCGAGCACTCAGAACTCGCCCAGCTCGATTCCCAACCTGTGCCTGGCCCACCTGACAGAATGCAGGCTGAGGCTGAAGCAGAAGCCCCGGCTCCCAGGAAACCATCCAGCGGCTTTGCCCGCATTGGGGCTGAGCCTGGGGATGGAGCAGGGCCCCCAGAGCCCACACAAACCCTTCCCACCAGGGCTGAGCTGGAAGCCCAACCCAGGCCCCGGCCTACAACTACCCATGCAGAAGGAGAACAAGCCCCCTCTAAGTCCAGGGAGCCAAGGGCAGAGAACAGGCCTGAAGATCCAAGAACGGACTCCGGAGGCCCGGGGCTGACCCTGTCCCCCGGGGACCGCGCGGCCAGCGAACCTTTGGCCAACCCTGATTATGCCTTCCACGTCATCTTCCTGGGGGACGCTAATGTGGGCAAAACCTCCTTCCTGCACCTGCTGCACCAGAACAGCTTCGCCACTGGGCTGACAGCAACTGTGGGTAAGAGCCGCCTGGGTAGGATGGCGGGGAGGGAGGGGAGAGCTGGGGGACCGGGCTGGCGAGCTGGAGCAGGCCTGGAGCGAACCATCCCTGAGCAAGCTGTAGGTTCTGCCCTCGCCACAGGCCCTGCGTTAGATGTTATTTTATACGGGCATAACCTGGCTATTTTACTAATCATCTCTAATTATAGGTAATTTGCTTCCTCTGCATTGATCTGATTAGCTAATAATGTGCCACGTTAACAAAGCACCTACAATTTAGGTGGCAGCACTGTTTGATGGTGAAAACAAGCTGGTCTCCACCCACATGGCCCCAGGGCAGGTCACCTCAGGGACCCCGCTGCTTGAATTTGCCCAAGACCAGCCCTAGGCCAGCCAGCCAGGCTCTGGCAGGAAGCTACCTCGGGCAAGTTGAATATTTTACACAGAATGTTTTTGTAGAGTGGGGTAAGTTAGGAACACCGGTGCCTGAGTTCAGAACCCAGCTCTGCCACTTACTAGTGGTATGAACTTCAGCAAATAATTCAAGCCTTCTGAGCATAACAGTAGCGCTGACCTCTGAAAGGGCTGTGAGAATTAGTTAATACATATCAAGGTCTTAGCATACTATCTGGCACATATTAACTGCTCAGTTAATATTAGCTATTTTTATGGTGGTTATTATTATCAGTACATTTTTGATAATGTCTAGTCCAGCGGCTTTTGCAAATGAAATGTCCTAAAGCACGAAGCCTCCTCTCCCTAAGAATATTGGGGTATGTGGCCACTTGTATAAAGCCATAGAAAAGAGCTCGTGGGAAATGTTTGGCTTGGGGTAAAAACGGAGGGATCCACGTCTTTGTGTCTGTCTAGGTGCACGCTAACTGGGAAACAGTGCAAGACCAGTAGGTAAAGTTCTCAAACTTTACCTAAGAGAGTCCCTCACCCCCTCACCCAGGACAGGTTCTTGAACTTTTCTCTGCCTGAGAAGCCTCACCTGGGGAATCAGTTAAAAATGGAGTGTTGTCAGGAATAGGGGACCCACAGGGGGTCTGTTCTGGTGTTGAACAGGGTCACAAGGTCTGCAAGACTACCATCATTAATCACATAAGCCAGGGGTCCCCAACCTCCAGGATTTAATGTCTGATGATCTAAGGTGTTGATGTAATAACAGTAGAAATAAAATGCACAATAAATATAATGCACTTGAATCACCCTGAAACCACCACCCACCCCCACCACCCTAGTCCATGGAAACACTGTCTTCCAAGAAACCAGTCCCTGGTCTCAAAAAGTTTGAGGACTGCTGACCTAAGCTACTGGTTACCGACAACCTACAATGCACCAGGCACACTTGCCTTATTCCATACGAGAGCCCTCTCATATTTATGAGCCTCTCCCATTATCATGTGGTGAGAAGTTTCCATGAAATTCAATAGAGAAAATACAGGTTGCATAATTATAAAAAGACAAGGCAAGCCTGCACACACTGCTAGTCAGCCGGGAGGAGTGTGTGTGTGAAAGTTGCTCAGTCGTGTCCAATTCTTTGCGACCCTATGAACTATACAGTCCATGGAATTCTCTAAGCCAGAATACTGGAGTGGGGAGCCGTTCCCTCCTCCAGGGGATTTTCCCAACCCAGGGATCGAACCCAGGTCTCCTACATTGCAGGCAGATTCTTTACCAGCTGAGCCACAAGGGAAGCCCTGATATCCAAATCTGTCCCACACTTAGCTGCGGTTTGGTGCCCCTGGTGGCTGTCACCCATTGGGATTACCTGTCACTGGGGATGATTCCAGCTTCCTCATTCGTAATCTCCCCACTCAGCATCACCCTCCTCCATTCCCACCCTGCTTTCTCGCCTGTCTGCCCTGGAGAACAGGGCTGGTGGAGGACCAGAGCCAGAGCCAATCGAATTATAGTTGACTGCACATTTTTGTGAGGTTTTTCTGCAGCTATCCCCATTTTACACATGAGGAAAACAGAACTGAAGTCCTGGTTAACTTTCTGGCCCTATCTGGGCACCAAAGTTCACACATGGGGCCACCTGCTTTCAAAGCACAGGCCCTCACCCCAGAGGCTCTACGCTTTTATGCGCTCAGCACAGCCCGCTCCCTGGGGTTGTTCATGTAAAATAGCAGATTTCTTGGGAAGCAGAAGACATTATATTTCTGACAGTTTAGGTGGTTTAAGTTGTAACATGTGGGGATACGTGGGTAGACTGAGTGTGGGCGATGGGCAGGGAGGCGAAAAGTGGGAGGAATGGAAGTTACTAAATGCAAGAATAACCTTGAGGGTTGCTCTATAGATCATGCCGCGGATGTTTACGCAGAGGCTGGATGTCATCACAGGGGGCGGGACTGGGTAACCGCAGTAGTTTCTGCAGACCCTGGGCTTCCTTAGACCTTCAGGAAAGGGGGCAGTAAAGAGAAATGGAGGCTGCAAACTGACTTCTGCTGAGGTCAGGACTTCCCGGCTGCCGCGTCTCCTAGTCTCCTCTGGGGAGCATGGATGGGGGCGTCTGTGGCTTGTCACCACCAGGGGCAGAAGTAAGAGCTTGTGGGGGTCACTGTGTCACTTTGAGGAAGGTCTCCACCGGCTCAGGGATCATGTGTGGAGTTGCCTCTTTCCTGAGCTGGTCTGAGCCCCATGGTGGGCTCAGCAGGGACAAAACAGCCTCTCTCTGTCACCCCCATCCCACTTGGTGTCCCTGGGAACTGGGGGTTGGCAGGAAGTTGCTCCCCAAAGATTCCACACCTCCTCGGGGATTTCACTAGTACTTCCACATTTCCAGGGACAGGAGGGGTCAGTCTAGAACCATGACCCAGGGAAGGGTTGGCCTGTGAAATTTTGAGGAGGTGGAGGTTCAGAAAGATGAGAGTTCATAGTAGATAATAAAAATGACCACTTCCCAAGCAGCCCCTAGACATTGGACCAAACCTTGAATATAAGTCATTTAATCCTGCCAATGACCCAGTGACGTGGGTCTTTTTAAATTGCCACACTTGCAGATGAGGAAGGAAGGCTCAGAGAGGTGAAGTGACTCACGCAGTCAGCAGAGCAGCAGAAGGCAGACAACTCACATCCCAACCGGTCCTCCTTGAAGCCAGCACTCCCTTCACCCTCCCAGGTTGCCTGTCTGCCCTGCTGAATAGAGAAGAAAGATGCATGCCATAATTAGGAATGAAACAAGAAGTATTATAAAAAAAATAAATGAATGAAACTGATTTTCCAGAGTAGCCTGAAGAATAAACATTGCCATGTAGTTGAGAAGACAGGTCTTTTCGTAGAGGTAAATACAAGCCAGGGTGCCTCATGTCAGCCAGCTGTCAGGGTGGGAGTGCAGTGGGAGCTGGGTAGGCAGAGCAGGCTTCTCGGAAGATATGGACCCTCAGTGTAGATCGGCTTTGCAGAGCAGAAGGGAAGCCCAGCTGCCAAAACTTCCCACCGCCCTCCCATGGCTGGTACTGGGAGCAGGTGCATATTCAGGCAGGTGTCAGCTCCAAGTCCTGGATGGTAACTTGAAAGTAGGCTTGACTCTCATCTCTGTGTCCTAGGAGTGGATTTTCGAGTCAAAAACCTGCTGGTGGACAACAAAAGCTTTGCACTGCAGCTCTGGGACACAGCTGGCCAGGAGAGGTAATGGACACTGTGGACATTAGTGGCCGATAGACTAATCGCACTGCAGAGCAGTGGAGCCCAGCCCCGACCCAGAGTCCTACCGAGTGCACATGCAACTTGTGCCTGATGAGGATTCAGGAGGTGGGGGATGGAGAGATGAGTCCAGGCCCAGGGCAGGAGACAGGAGCGCACACCCAGAGGCCCCCTCAGCCTGGCGGGGCAAGTGTGAGGGCCGTCCCAACATGGCCTGCAGAGCACATCTACCAATCGTTTTTTTTTTTTTGTCCACGCCTTGTGGCATGCGGGATCTTAGTTCCCCAACCAGGATTCGAACCCACTGAAGTGGAGTGGAGGCTTGGACTCCCAGCCATTGGTCCTCCAGGGAAGTCCCCTCACCTATCCTTTGAAAATATTAGCTTTCGACTTTTCAGTTAAGCAGTAGTGATCAAAACTGAAAAGGGACATCATCTATGACCCAGAAGTTCTACTTCTAGAAGTTCATTCTACTGACAAACTCATACTATATTATCAAAAGGACCAAGACTGTTCACAGCAATAGTGTTTATATTATGAAACATTGGAAGCCTCCTAAGCACCATCAGTAGTGGGCCAATTAAATAAATCAGAGTCTCTTCACACAATAGAATATAATGAAGCCAGGGAAAAGACGGAGGATCCTCTTTATGTATCTTTGTGACCCCCATGGACTGTAGCCTTCCAGGCTCCTCTGTCCATGGAATTCTCCAGGCAAGAATATTGGAGTGGGTAGCCATCCCCTTCTCCAGAGGATCTTCCCAATCCAGGGATCGAACCTGGATCTCCTGCCTTGCAGGCAGGTTCTTTACCATCTGAGCCATCAGGAAAGTCACCCTTTATGTACCAATAGGGAAATATTTTATTACCTGCAGAAAACGAAGAACAGTATTGAACATTAATGAGTACAGTGTTTTACACTGTATTTGTTTAAACAGTGTGTGTATGGAGGAAGTGTGTGTGTATGAGTATATATATGCATTTATGTATATGCATGAAATATCCCTGGGAGACTATTTAAATAATGGGTAACTCTGATTGCCTCTGGGGAGGGGGACTGGATGGCTGCAGGATGAAGGTAGAGTCGCCTGAGAGAGACTTTTCATTAGATGCCCTTTGGTACCTTTTGAAGTCTGAGCCATGAGGACTGTTAACCTATTCAACAATAAGCACACCGTAAGAAGGAAAATGCATGCACACCCTCTTTGGGAAGCAGTTAGAAGCCGATGTGGCAGCTGAGGCCTAGGCAGGGTGCCTGGCATCACCCAGCGCGGACTCTCTGGGCAGGTACCACAGCGTGACGCGGCAGCTGCTGCGCAAGGCTGACGGCGTGGTGCTCATGTACGACATCACCTCCCAGGAGAGCTTCGTCCACGTGCGCTACTGGCTGGACTGTCTCCAGGTGAGCTGCCGGCTGCTGGGGCTGGCCCCAGTGTGCAGTCAAGAGGGAGCTTGTGTCTGTCCCACTCCTTTTTTCTCCCAGGATTACAAAGGACACAACCGACATGTGGGTGACCGTCTGCTGAGGGCGTGTGGCTGGATGGGCTGGGAGCATAGTAATGCAAAGAAACCACAACCACATAGTCTCCAAAACAAACTCTTTCCTGTATCCTTCCTGTGACCATTTCTTTCGTATACACCAAAGCTCTGTGATGTATTCTTAACACCTGGGGATGATGCAAGTCTAGCGTTACTCTAGATGAGCATTCCTTTATCCATATATCTCTAGTCCTTTCCCCCACGTATGTATTTGATGTATGTATGAATGAAATTCATATGCTGAATTCTACAGTACATGCTAGCACAGAAGAGGGATATGAAGAAAGACATGTTGTCTTCTCTCTAGAAGTTTCTGGTCCAGTTGTAGAGATGCAAAGGAAGCAGAATAAAGTAACATTTGAGGGAAACTGGGTTCTGAGTTCTAATGAGACCTGGGTTTGAATCCCAACTACCCCATCCTAACTCTGTAACCTTGGACAAGTGACTTAAACTCTCTGAATTCAATTGCCCAACTTTTCTCATAGAGGAGTTGTGAGGATTAACTGCTATAACTGCTTTCAGCACAGCGCCTGGTATATAGTAAACTCTCCGTTAACAGATGCCATTATTATTATCATCCATGAAACAGTTAGGAGATGAGTCAAGGCAACCTGTGTAATTTAACACTAGGCTATTCAGCACAGGTAGGAAAAGATAGGCATGGGCAGGAGCAATCCAGGAAGGCTTCCTAGGGGAGGTGACTTTGAGGTTGGCCTTGGAGAGTGGGTGACACGTTTGCAGGCTGGGAGGAGGGGGAGGTTTGCTGCAGGTGGAAGGGAACATGTCAGAGGTGAGAAGAGCATGGAGTGGGTGGGATATAGAAAGTGGGTTCTGTGTGTAGGGGAGGAAGTGGCACAGGGTCAGCTTCTCCTGAAGGGCAGGGTCAGATCCACCCAGGGCCTGGTTCCCAGCAGGTGCCAGACAGGTGTGGCTGAGGGAACATTTCTGTGCACAGGATGCAGAGTCTGACGACGTGGTCATCCTTCTCTTGGGAAACAAGACGGACCGTGAAGAGGATCGGCAAGTGTCCACTGAGGCCGGGCAGCAACTGGCCCAGGTGAGCAACTGGGCATCAGCCCCCCTCCCAGCCTGGACTGGGCAGACCCCTCCCTGGGGGGTAGTGAATAGGTCACCCTGGCCTGGGCCACAGAGAACAATCCGCTCCTGCCTCTGCTCAATCAGAGACTAAGAGCCTTCTACCCACCCGGGCCCAAGACCCAGACATGAGATGGTAACTGTGGGCAGGACATTTAACCTTACTGTTGCATTGGCAAATCCCCACAGTGTCCTGACCTACGTAAAAATTACCTTCAGACTAAAAAGCTTTTCAAGCTTCACTTAAAATTCCCAATCAAATCTTCACCTTATCTCTGGTCTCTAATTAACATAACATTCCTTCTAATTTATTCTATTTTAAGACCCAAATTCTTCCCTGGGAAGATTGCATCAAAAGCCCCACCACCAGACAGGGGAGTGTGGATACAATTTATTTTTGAGTAGAACTGAACTACATTCCAGAAAATCTGGAGAATAATTAAGATGGAAATAGTCTCATTCCCGGCCCTACCTCTGACACCACCCCTCTTGACATTTCCATATCGTATTTCCTTCCCATTTCTTCTCTCATTTCTCCTAACCATGAGGTCATCATTGTGGCTCATGGTTGGTGGGAATTTTTTCCTCTTAAAAGCAGTAGCTCACCGCCTTGACAGGAACTCCTTCTCCAGCAATTTATCCAAAGGAAAGAGTTAGAAATAATAATTCCTAAGAGAAGAACTTAATAGATCCTGTGTATATTTGAAAATGTTTGTATGAGAATGTTCTTTATGAGAACAAACTCTTGGCAACATTTGGTGGTTAATTTGTGGAGCTTCATGCAAAAAGCTAGCATTCGCCATTAAGAATCCTATTCTGAAAAATATTTAAGGTTGTGGAGGAAATGCTTACAATATAATGTGAAGTCAGAAAAATAGCCATGTCTCTGGGGACAGGTTAGGTTGAATCATATGAGATTGCTGATATTTGACTGTTTGGCATCTATCAGAGCAGCAATTTCATACAGTTTAACCTAACAGTATAATGATATTTAGCCCACACTCCACACCCCCAATAAAAGGGTCATATAAAACAGAATGGAAATATTGGATTGGCCAAAAAGTTCGTTCTGTTCTTTTTCTAAAGAATTTTTTGGTCAACTCAATATATATTCAAACACTAACAGAAGTGGTGGTCAACTCAATATATATTCAAACACTAACAGAAGTGGTTTATAATTTGCACTTACATTTTTCACTAAAAAATTTATTTACTTATTTATTTATTTTTGGCTGTGCTGGGTCTTCATTGCTGAGTGGGCTTTCTCTAGTTGCAGCAAGTGGGGGCTACACTCCAGTTGCGGTAGGCTGGCTTCTCATTGCAGTGGTTTGTCTTGTTGCAAACCATGTGCTTTAGGGTGCCTGAGTTCAGTAACTGTGGCTCCTGGACTCTAGAGCACAGGCTCTATAGTTGCAGCGTACAGGCTTAATTGCACAGCTTGTGGGATCTTCCCAGATCTGGGATGGAACCTGTGTCTCCTGCCTTAGTAGGCAGATTCTTTACCACTGAGCCGCCAGGGAAGCCCTGTACTTACATATTTTTATGTTACATTTCCCAATATTTCCCCCAATTCAATATTTTTTCCCAAGGACATTTCTCCTAATTGGAATACGGGCTTCCCACCATCACTCTGAAGGCTGTGGGGTGTTTCTGGGTGGCGTCTTTGACACCTTGGCCAGCCAAAATGGAGAGACAGTGGGCAGAGGGGCAAGGCTGGGGACCATGGAGACGGGGAGACAGAGACAGGCTGCCTCGCCCGTGGGGGTTGGCTTGGGGATGTACTGGATGGGACTCTGTCTGACGGTTGGGTCCTTGGTGGCGGGGGCTGCCTCCTGGACTCTCGGGGGTCTCCCCCACGGCACCTGTACCCCCATCTATCTGGCTGCAGGAGCTGGGGGTCTCCTTTGGAGAGTGCAGCGCTGTGCTGGGTCACAACATCCTGGAGCCCATGGTGCACCTGGCCCGGTGAGTGCCGCCCTGCTCCTCCCCACCCAGGATCTTCTGGACAGCCTTTAGCTGACTCATGCGGGAGGGGAGGCCCGGCTGAGGAAGTGCCTGAGAAAGCACAGGGCTCAGAGCCTGGGGAAGGAGTGAGAACCCTCGAGGAGTCTCCTGACTCCAGTTCTACCAGTCCTGTCAGCGACCCCACCTCCAGGAAGTCTCCCCTCCCCTCTCTACGCCTCCGTGCCCTCCCAAGCCTCCAGGGACTTCCACTGCATTTAGAATAAAATTCAGATGCCTCCTAATGGCCTGGATTGGCTCCTGTGCCATCTCCCTGCCCCCCGCCCGACCCCCTCAGTCAGAAGCTTCAGCCACTCAGAGGAACCCTCCCTGACCACACCTGCTCCCACCACTATTCTGAATCTCTTTCTCTGTGTCCCTCAAAGCCCTTCTTCTTTTTTTTTTTTTTTTCTGGCTGCAAAGAGCAGCTCGAGGGATCTTAATTCCCTGACCAGGGATCGAACCCAGGCCCTCAGAGTGAGAGCTCAGAGTCCTAACCACTGGACTGCCCGGAAGTCCCACGAAGCCTTTCCTGGCAAGCTGTCGTTACAGAGTTTGTCTGCTTTCTTGATGCTGACTGCCTTCTCCACCAGGCTGGAGCTCTAGCAGGGCCAGGTCTTTTTGGTTCAGCTCCTCCCCGTTCCATCCCTGGGTTGGGAAGATCTCCCTGGAGAAGGAAATGGCAACCCACTCCTGTATTATTGCCTGGAGAATTTCATGGACGGAAGAGCGTGGTGGCCTGTAGTCCACGGGGTCCCAGAGTCGGGCACGACTGACACACTAACACTTCCTCCCCCTGGAGCCTGGCACATGTCGGTGTTCAATTAATGAATGAAATGAGTGAGGTGGGAGGGGTTTTAGATGACTTATCTCTAGGCCCCTTCTCTGACAAAGCACCTTTCAGAATCAGCTTGCTGAACCGCAGACCTGATCCCGTCTTCCCTGGGACAGGAAACTGCTTAACGACCCCCTTTGCTTTAGAAGAAAAGCCCTACTTGTGGCTTCCCGGTCAGCAGAGCCCTGAATCCTTGCTGCCTCCACGGCTTCTTTCTGGCCATTCAGTCCTTAGGGTCCGTGATTCAGGACAGTGCCAGGCACACAGGAAATATATTGTGAATAAACAAATTAACGAAGAGGCTTTACTTCACTGATCCCCCAGCTCTCTCTCGACACTAAGCCTTTGCCCTCTGCCTAGGACTCACCCTTCCCTCTGTTCTGCAAGTGGACCCTTGTCCAATGCTTGGTCTTGGCTCCAGCAATGTTCCTTGCACCCTAAATCCCTCCAGGATCTGGTATGAAGTCCCTCTGTGTGCCGCCCCATTCCTGGGTCTTGATGGCCCCTTCCTGTCTCGGTCTCCCACACTACGCAAGGCAAGACCTGCTGGCTTCACGGTCAATCAGTACCTTGCCCCTGGCACACAGTAGGCTGCAGAGAGTGCTAGGGAAGAGACAGAAAGGTGTTTCATGCCGTGTGGAATGCAGGGCAGGGGCAGAGAGGAAGTTNTTCCTGGGTCTTGATGGCCCCTTCCTGTCTCGGTCTCCCACACTACGCAAGGCAAGACCTGCTGGCTTCACGGTCAATCAGTACCTTGCCCCTGGCACACAGTAGGCTGCAGAGAGTGCTAGGGAAGAGACAGAAAGGTGTTTCATGCCGTGTGGAATGCAGGGCAGGGGCAGAGAGGAAGTTCAAGGGGTCCAGCCCCCAGCTGCACCCTTGGGTCCCTCCCAGCTGCCTTTGGCAGGTGAGAGAGAGGACTGATGCCCGGGCATCTTCACGCAGGTCTCTCAAGATGCAAGAAGAGCGCCTGAAGGGCTCGTTGGTGGAGGTGGCCCCCGAAAAACCTCCAAAGAGAGCTGGCTGCTGCTCCTGAGGCCCTGGCCTGACTGGGGTCGGCTGGCCACCTCCCTGGGTTTCCTGTGCCTTGGCTCCTGTCCAACCTGCCTGGACACAGCAATGACAGAGACGACTAGCTCAGAAGTTCTGGAAAACCCTCCTCGGGTCAGGACTCAGACCCCAGAGCAGAGGCTACACTAACGCTGGCCTTTGCACGCCAGAGAGGGACTTTTCTGAGTAATAAGGTTGGTGGGGATGGGGAGGGCCAGTCAAAACTCTTTAAAGAAAGGAAAAGCCCAGAAAAATGACTTAAGGAAAATACACCACAGTATTGGCAAAACATCTCTGGGTGATAAAATTATAGGGTAAAGGTGTGGGGGTGTTTTCCTTTTTACATGTATTTGTATTGTCAGATCTTCTACGATGACTGGGTATTCCTTCTGTAGTCAGAAATAAGAATAAATCTTGAGGGGTGGGAGGGAAACTTTTCAAAGAGGTTGCTTCAGTGCTGATTCCTAATTGAAATGGCCTGTTGATTGCAAAGTACTCTGTTTATTAAAGCAGTCCCACTGTTCCATGCCTGGCAAAGCTGGTGAACCTTGTCATTCTCAATCTGTTGATTTGCAAAAACAGGGGGTTTCTTTCAAGCAGAATCTAATTCCTGGGGAAGAGCTGATGGCCCCTGGTATGTTCCATCCCCCCTCCACCATCTCCCTGAGCCCCAACCTCACTCTCTTTTCCCAAGGTCTGCCTCGAAGGGCTCACATTTGGGGACCTCACCCCTTGCTCCAAGCCATGGTGCCTCTGACGCCAACCTCAGCCTTGAGGATACACTTGTCAATCTCTGGATACACTCAAAGCGCAGCTGGGGTGAGGCTGGGGGAGCCCGGGGAGCAGCAGAAAACTGGATTCAGATTATTCACAGGCTCCTCTTTGGAGTTTTTGTGAGAGTTCCCGGAATTACACAACATTGGCCTCCTGAAAGGTGGCTGTACGTTATAACCCGGGGCTGGGGATTTCAGGGCCCTTGGGGAGCATGCTTTGAAAGTCTTAGATGCCCCGGGTGTTGTGCTATCTCCTGTCATCAGTGTTTGCTGTAAATGTTGACTGTCACATCTTACCATTAACCACAGAAATGCTTACCAAGTACTGTGGTCCAGAGTGGGAAGGTCGCTGAATCTGGTACTTGGTAATCATTCGGGTACTGGCGACTTCCTCCTCTGAATCAGAGGAAACCTCAGTTTCGTAGACAGACAAGCAAATTCAGTTCCAGAGACAGAGGTACAGAGAGACTGAAGGAGAAAGAGGAAGGCAAGAGACAGAGGAAAGAGACAGCAGAAATAGAGACACCGATGTAGAGAACAAATATATGGATACCAAGGGGAAGGGTGGTGGTGGGAGGAATTGAGAGACTGGGACTGACACCCATGTACACTATTGATAATGCATATCAAATAGATAACGAATGAAAGCTTACTGTACTGCATGGGAACTCTACTTAATGCACGGCAGTGACCTGAATAGGAAGGAAGTCCAGAAGGGCGGGGACATAGGATTACGTATAGCTGATTCATTGTGTTGTGAAGTAGAAACTAATGCAACACTGTCAAGCAACTTACTCCAGTAAAAATTAATTATATATATTAAAGAAGTCTCTGCTCTTGATCCTTATCCCTCTGCTTGGTTCTAAATGACTGAGCTCTCTGTCACTAGAAGCAAACAAGCAGAAGCCAGGGAACACTTGGCAAAGAGGTGAGGTGGAGAAGATTCACGTATCAGAAGGCACCAGAGGTTACATTAGATTCCTTTAGTGGATCCCATTCAATCTCTAGTCAGTGCAGAATGAATTCCTATGATCCAGCCAGTTCTCTTACCGGTCTGACTCACTGATCCTTTCTCAGCCTCTACGTCTTCTCTCTCCCTGGGTCCTGGGAGCCCATAGCCCTCCTCCTGTTCTGAGCAGGTTTTAGGCCCTAGTATGCTCAGAGAAATACGGCCAGAGACAGATGGAGACAGGAAGATGCGGGCCGGCGTAATTGATGCCCAGCCCTGGCTAAGAGTGGGGGGCTGGTCCTGCTGTGGCTCATGGCCTTCTCTCTGGGGTCTGGGGATCTGGCAGGCACCAGCATCTCTGTCCTGTGGGCCAGCGAGTTAATGAGGCAGGTCGGCAGGGTGTGATTCCTGGGGGAGTGGTAGAGCGGATAGTGCCCCTGTCCTTTGGGGGAATCTGGTACAGAAGTGGCCCCTTTGCCCGCCCCTCCCATCTCAGCCCTGTCCCTGCCCTGGGCAGCTAGCTCCTTGGAGGTGGGGTGCTAGAAGGAACAGCACACCTGCCCAGAACCTTCTCTTAGTTTTCTCTGGCTGGACCCAGCTTCAGGGCAGAGCACAGCTGTGGAGGGGTCACCAATCTGCCCTGGAGTCAAAGGACCCCACATCAGCAAGCAGAGCCCAGCAACTTCCGAGCAGCACAAGGCAGGTGAGGAGGCAGCAGGAGGGACTCAGGATAGACCTCAGAGTGAACTTTCAGGCAAGGGGTGGGTTCTCAGGGCATGTCCGTCAAGGGGGCTCTGGTCACAACTTAGCTTGAAGCTGATGAAGAAACAGAGGGTGGGACTAGGTTGATGGGTCTCAGTGTTTGCAGTGAGAAGGGGAGGGCAGGGGGATAAAATGGAGTCTGGGCAGGGGTGGCAGAAAGGAGAGATTTTTTGGAATTGAAAGTGGGCAGGATCAGAACACTAGCCATCATTTACCAAGCGCTTGCTACGCTAGGCACTGTTCTGAGCACGTAACTCATATTACCTCATTTAATCCTCACATCAGCCTCATGAGATAGGGTCTGTTATTATCCCCATCTTACAGATAAGGAAAGTTATGCAGAGAAGGTCCAGTAGATGGTAGATGGATTCCCCGGTGGCTCAGTGATAAAAAAAAAAGAATCTGTCTGCAATGCAGGAGACGTAGGTCAGATCTCTGGGTCAGGAAGATGCCCTGGAGGAGGGCATGGCAACCCACCCCAGCACCCTTGCCTGGAGAATCGCATGGACAGAGAAGCCTGGCGGGCTACAGTCCATGGGGTCGCAAAGGTTTGGACACAAATGAAACGACAAGCTCGTGCACACACGTAGCTGAGCAAGTGGTTGAGGGAGGCTTTAAACTCAGGCTCTAGTGCCTATAAGCTTAACCCTGAAGTTAGACCTTTCTATAGACTACAGATAGGGCAGCAGCAAGGTCCTTTGAGCCTTTTCTTTTCCCCATCCCTTCACCCTTTCCCTCCCCTCCTCTCCAATCATATTTCATATCATTAGCAGGCAAGCCTGGCCAGACGGAAGAAACAAAAAAGCATTGACAAATGCTTGGAGAGTGGCATTCATCTGGGGCAGTTAGGGTATTAGGGGGTCCCTCAGTTTCTCCTTCCCCTGCAGCCCCTGGAACCAGAGTCTGAGACCTGGGGTGTCGGCAGCAGAATCCATAGAGACCTCCCCACCTGCTGTCTCTTCTCAGGCAAGCGGCTGCCATGGCGCCCTGAGAACAAGCAAAGCATCTGCAGGAGGGACTCAGGGGACCCCTGGCTCTGAGCCAGCTTCAGAGGGGCTTTCCAGCCCCCACTCTCTGTGCAGGAGACAAGGGGATGGAAACAAGAATGAGGATCCCACTGACCCATCTATTTTGCTGCTTGTTGGCCCAGTACCTGGCTCTGGGTAAATGCTCAGGAAATATTTGTTTAGTTTCTGAGTGAAGGGGTAAGCTGCCTCTTTTCACTAATGCTCTGGAGTCCTGGCCTCTCTGTGACATGCAAGATGAAGACATCAGCCCCTGAGCCAGCTCTGGGGTGACTTGACCCCATCTCTCAGCCTGTGTGCTTTCACTCTGGGACCCCCCATGTCGTCAGCAGAGGTGATGGACCAGGTGCAGCGCAGTGGTTCCCCTACCCTGCCAGGTAAGCAGCCCAGCATGACCACTGAAGGCAGTGGTTCCCAAGCTGGTCTTTCAAAACTGCCAAAGCCTGAACCAATCAAGTCAGGTCTTTAGAGCATGACCCATGAATTAAGATTTTTTTGGTTGCACCAAGTGGCATGAGGTATCTTAAATTCCCTGACCAGAGATTGAACCTGTGCCCCCTGCAGTGGAAGTGCAGAGTCTTAACCACTGACCATGGGGAAGTCCCAGGATTAGTGTTTTTTGTTTTTTTTTTTTTTGAAACTCCTCAGCTGATCCCAATGTGCAAACATGCCTGGGAACCATTGATTGGGGCTTTATAGCTTCTCAAATCCCTTGCATGTTCACTTTCCCACTTGACCTTCAAATCAAAACTTGTTCACTTCACAGGCAGGGCGAGGTTTTGTTTAAAAACATGTATGAAAGAAAGTGAAGTCGCTCAGTCGTGTCCGACTCTTTGCGATCCCATGGACTGTAGTCTACCATGCTTCTCTGTCCATGGGATTTTCCAGGCAAGAGTACTGGAGTGGGTTGCCATTTCTTTCTCTAGGGGATCTTCCTGACCCAGGGATTGAACCCAGGTCTCCTGCATTGCAGGCAGACACTTTACCCTCTGAGCCACCAGGGAAGCCCCAAAACATGTATAGTGCATATATATATTTATATACTAAGTAAATATATATACTATACTAAATATATAATAATATATATGCTATACTAAATATATGAGATGGCTGGATGGCATCACCGACTCAATGGACATGAGTTTGAGTAAACTCCAGGAGTTGGTGATGGACAGGGAGGCCTGGCGTGCTGCGATTCAAGGGGTCGCAAAGAGTCAGACATAACTGAGCGACTGAACTGAACTGAACTGATACTAAATATGTATACTATACTACATATATATATATACTATACTAAGTATAGTATACTGGTATGTAGACTACACTAGTGTATATATATGTATATATACATACTACATACATGTAGCATACATACTACATATATGTAGTGTACTAAGCATATAATATATACTATAATATATGCTATATTACTATAATATATAGCAACATATTATATAATATATAGTAATATATAATATATAGTAATATATATTACTATATATATCACAAGGTTGCTATGATATATAGTAATATATATTACTACTAATATTATATATAATATTACTATATATAGTATAATACTATATTATACATAATATAGTAATATAGTATGTATACTATAGTATACAGATTATATATATGTATACTATAATAAACATATATAATAATATACAATATTTATCACATTCAATTTGTACTCCCTGCAAAATTTTAGAAATACAGCAGTTATGAAGAAAATGAAAATTACCTCAACCTCGTACTTGAGTGACAGTTACTGTTGACAGCTGTTTTACTTCCTTTATTTCCTCGATTCCTTACAGTTGAGGTTGAGAAGAACAAGTCACAGGCGCTCCCCACCAGATCGTGGCGCTCCCAAGTAGCAGAGTCGGGATTTGAACCCAGGGCACTAACACAGCCCATCCCACCAGGTTGCTGAGAGGTATAGAGGGGCTGGGGCAGGCCCAGGGCCCCGACCGCGTGCAGGGGTCTTTGAAAGGAGGGCGCTCAGCAGGGAAAGAGGGAGGCGGCCCGCGGTCTGGTTTCTACGCCGTCCTCGTGTGTCTGGAGCAGGAGAATGGAGGCCAACGCCACGTCCACCGCCGGGCTCACAGCCACAGCCGAGCGACCGCTCCGACTCGTCTTTGCGGGGGTCTGTGGCCTCATCCTGCTGGTGGGGTTGCTGGCCAACGGGCTGATGCTACTGGTGGTGGGCCGGGGCCCGGGCGCCCCCCGCCCACTCCTCTCCTTGACCAACAGCCTCATGGTGAACATCACGCTGTCCGACCTGCTCTTCCTGGCCTGCGTGGTGCCGGCGCTCCTGCTGAGCTTCCTGCGGCAGGACTGGTGGCTGGGCCCCACCGTCTGCACCACCAGCCAGGCCGCCAACAGCGCCACCATGTTCTGCACCTTCTACAGCATGGTGGCCACCGCGCTCCTCCGCCACGTGGCCGTGGCCCGGCCTGACCTGGCCCTCCCGTCCGGTCCGGGCGCCCGCCGGCTGCTCTGTGGGGCCATGTGGGTCCTGGGCCTCGCGGCCTCGCTGCCCACCTGGCTGTTCCAGCGAGCGGTCGTGGAGGAGGGGGCCTGGGCCTGCCTCTTGCTTCTGAACCCTGCTCAGACCTCCTGCTACTTCACGCTGCTGGGAGCCCTGGCCTTCCTGCCTTGCGTGCTGGGGCTGGGCTGCTCTTTCGGCCACATGGGCTGGCTCCTGTGGACGCAGCCCCGGGGCCCCGAGGGGGAGAGTGCCCGGGAGCACCAGGAGAACACCAGGCTCATCCTCGTAGCGCTGCTGGTCTTCGTGCTGATGTGGGGGCCTTGCTCCGTGCTGGGCTACGTGGCGGCTGTGGGGGACCTGCCTGCTACGCCCGTGGCTTACATGGCCTCCAGTCTCTGCACTCTCCTGGCCTACTCCAATTGTGCCGTCAGCCCCATCCTCTGCTTCTACCTCTCTCGCCCCTTCTGGGCCAGGCTCAGGGACCTCTTTCGCAGGCCACTGGCAGCCAGGCATCCCAGGGCTGTGGGCGGGGCTGGGGTGGTGATGGAGAGCGTCCAGCCTGGACGTGAGGGGGCCCCGGGAAGCCTCTGGGGCCTGGTGGGGGTCTGAGAGGTTAGGCTGATGGGAAGGCTGAAATTCAAAGACAGATGGGAAGACTCCTGGCGACATTAGATCCCACCCCCTCCATTTTACCAGCGGGGAGACGAAGATCCAGAGAGAGAAGGTAGCCCAGCAAAGGTGACACAGCAGTTAAATGGCAACTAGATCAACTAGGCACCCATTTCACCCTGGGGCTCAGAGGGATACCTATAGGCTCCATGACTTTCTAGTTGTTATGATCAGAAAAGTCCTTAACCTTTCTATGCCTGGAAAGTAGAATCCTGATAGTACCCTTTTCACAAGTTGTTATGAAGATAAACTTCCTGAATATACAGTGTTTGAAAGAATGCCTGGTGGTTAGTAAATGAGTATGGGTCATTACTATTATTTGCATTATCTTATTTTTGTTAAGTCAGGGGCATTTGAAATGAGAGTGGGAAAGGGGCTTCTAAAGGCTGAAAAGTGAGGAGCAGAATGATCTGGGGGCTGATGGCCTGGGGTCCTCAGCCCTGAAGGCCTGGAGATCGAATGGGCAGGCTGAGTCGGGGCTCACAGTCCAGGGAGGGGGGCCCTTCAGTCTCCTCTCCCTCCTCTGCCTGCCCTTCCACAGCTCTGCCACACACATGCTTCTCAGCACAATACAGGATCCCCATGAAGTCAAGTCAAAGTGGAGCCATGAGTCTGTGAATTCCTCAACGCCCTCCTTTCTTCTCTGTGGTTTCTCCTCCTGATGTGGCTGGGGCAGGGATGCCTTTTGAGGCCCCTTCCTTCTCTCCAGAACCAAATGGCTTCACCTCTGTTACCCCATCCCCTCTGAAGTTCCCCAACTCCATGCTCTCCTTCAAGCCTCCTGGCTTGGGAACCAGGGAGATGTGTCTCTACTGAAATTCCCAAGACAGCATGTTCTGCTTGGTGACGGTGTTACAGCTAAACACACACACACACACACACACTTCCTCCTGATGTGGCTGGGGCAGGGATGCCTTTTGAGGCCCCTTCCTTCTCTCCAGAACCAAATGGCTTCACCTCTGTTACCCCATCCCCTCTGAGAAGTTCCCCAACTCCATGCCCTCCTTCAAGCCTCCTGGCTTGGGAACCAGGGAGATATGTTTCTACTGAAATTCCCAAGACAGCATGTTCTGCTTGGTGACGGTGTTACAGCTAAACACACACACACACACACACACGCACATGCACCATGGTCAAAAAGTGTAGGAAATATAGTCTCTTTGCCATAGGACTAATCAGAGCCTCGAACACTCTGATGGCCCCTGGGACTCTCTGAGAGGGGCTTGAAGCCAGCAGCTTCCCAAAACCTTTGCCAGGGAACCAGTGTTCCGTGGAACTCATCGTTGGGAAAGAACCCAGGAGAGAAGCTACTGTGTTGAGCACAATGAAGACGCTCTTGGCGCCCTGGGGCGGCGGCTCTGAGCCTCAATTCCCCTGCCAGGCGGTCTTCCCCTCCCAACCCTTTCCCACGGGTGCCCAAGGTGAGGGAAATCAGGCCACTGGTTATGGGAACTTCCTTCTTCTCGAGTTGTGACCCCACCCGGTTCCCACTCAAAGAGGATCGGAATGCAAGTCAGAGGGGCATCTAATTATAAGGATAGCGGTGAATCAGCTCTAATTTAATATAAAATCATCAGAAGCAAGTAAGTCCCAAACTTTGGTGTAATTAGTACGAGTGTCTTGTGATGTGCAGGTTGGGAATGGCTGCCTGGAGGGCTAATCCGAGAGCAAACTCGCCCAGAGGAGGGAGAGATCCCTTTTCCCTGTGATCCTGGGCCCTCATGGCCACAGGAGTTTATATGTGAAGAGCCATGAGGAGGAAGGTGGTGTTTATTGCATATTGAGCGCAGCAGGTCCTGTGCATGTCACATGATTCATATGTGCACATCTGCATGTTATTCTGGCCATATGACAGTCCCGCAAGGAAGGAGAGACAAGCCTGTCACACAGGAGCAGTAACTCATCCTGGACACATGATCTGTGAGTTGTCTAGGCTGGGGGTCCCTAACCCCCAGGCCACTGACTGGTACTGATCCGTGGCCTGTTAGGAACAGGGCTACACAGCTGGAGGTTAGCAGTGGGTGAGCCAACAAAGCTTCATCTGTATTTACAGCCGCTCCCCATCGCTCTCATTAGCCCTTGACCTTGGCCTCCTGTCAGATCAGTGGCAGCATAATGAATGTAATGTGCTCGAATTATCCCAAAACCATCCCCACAACCCTGTGGAAAAACTGTCTTCCAGGAAACCGGTCCCTAGTGCCCAAAAGGTTGGGGACCAGTGGTCTAGGCTGCCTCAAGAGTCCCACTTTGGTACTCACAGATCCTGGCCCTTCCCACTGGTTTTGTATTGATACCCTCGGGCAGTAGTATTTACTGCTTATTTCTCCAGAGCAGGGGTTAGAGGCCTGTGTAGGGTGCGACTGTGTGTGAGCAAGGTCTCCAAACCTGAGCAGGGCCTAGCACTAATGCTCACTTAACACTTGCTGAGAGATGAGTGAGCAAATGCAATAAAGTCACTCACAGAATAATCTGATCATGTTGCTCACCTCTCTCACCTCCTTAAGTGGCTCCCTGATTGACTCAGAGTAACACTGAAGACCTTACTGTGACCTACAAGGCACTGCACATTCCAGATTCTTCACCCCCAACCCCATCTCCTGCACTCTCCCCTCCTTGTTTTCGGCTGCCCTCTGTGGCATGCAGGATCTTAGTTCCCTGACCAGAGATTGACCCTGTGCCCCCTGCAGTGGAAGTGTGGAGTCTCAACCACTAGAGCACCAAGGAAACCCCTACTCTCTCCTCCTTACTGCAGGTTCAACCCACTGGCTTCCTACTGTCCTTGAAACACACCCCAGGGCCTTTGTATTTGCTGCTCCTGCTCCTTGAAGCCCTCTTGCCTCAGACACCAGCATGCTCCTCTCTCTCATTTCCTTAGGGTTCATCTAATCGTCATCTCCTCAGAGAGGCCCCCTCCCCGACCACCTCATCTAAAATGTCACCATGTCACTCTCTATCCTCTTAATCTCTTATTTTCCTTTGTGACACTTGTCACCACTGGGAATTGTCATTCACCTTTTGTTTATGTGCTTATTGCGCTTCCCCTGTCCTGTTGTGTGTCTGCTGTAAGCTCAACATGGAGACAGGGCCCCCGTGTTTCGTTCACTGCGCATCCTCAGTGCCTAGCACTGGCACACAGTAGTTGTTCGGCAAATTTTTGTTGAACAAAAGAGGGGAAAAAAAGAGAGTGAGGAGAACCTGGACCCTCACACAGCAACATCTGTGCTATTTTTCATAAGACAAAGGAAAACAAAGAACTTTAGTAAAAGAATCAAATTTACTTCAGTTTAAGGCAAATTCCACACAGAGACTGTCTCAGAGACGGGCACAGGACCAGACAGCATAGAAACACCACCGTCATGCATGATGGGAAGGGAAGCGGTATCTGCAACAGACGCGGTGTGGCCTGGTCTCCACCAGGCATGGGAGGTTCAGTGGGCAGAGCAGCCCCATGCAGCAGGAGGGACTGGCATGCATGACCTGTTCCCCAGGTGGGTAAAGGCTGGGCAGCTGGGGGGGCCCAGGCGTGAGATCATTTTCCTCACCTTTCCCACAACAGGGGCAAGGGCTCTGGCTCAGAGGCCAGGAGCCCAAGGCTGAGGGACTAGGGTGGATTTGGGGTGATGGGGTGGAAAAGGGTGACCCTAGAGCCAAGACGGCCTTAAAGGGCAGCACTAGTGAGGAATGGGATGGGGGAAGCTGGACATGGGATGACTGTGAACTCTTAGGCCATCAGAGCTAAAGGTAAACCCAGGGCCATCTGGTCAACCCTCTTGCCTTACAGATGTGGAAACTGAGACCCAGAAGATAGAAAGGCCTTGCTTGGGTTCCTGCAGTCAGCAGGGGCTGGAGGCAGGGTTGAACCCCGGGATCCCCCATCCCCATGGGATAGAGGGGCAGTGTCAGTGCTGGAGCAGGGCTGCTTCTTGCCCAAGCCTCCAGGTGGGTGGTAGAGGACTGCACCCCAAGGACCTTGGGCAGCCTCTGGGGAGAGAAGGGGATGTCTGAGGCCAGAAGCCAACTGCAAAGGTGCCTATGGGCCCAGACCAGGAGAGGTTTGTGGATTTCTGTCTAGAACCAGCGTCACACTGGGCTGGAGAGGCACCAGAAAGGACTCCGTGCCTGATAAGCTTCCATTCCTCGCCCACCAGGCGGGCTCCATCCACTACCACAGCATCTCCTTCATGGGTCTGTAGTACTCCCACTGCATGCAAGGGTCCCAGGGAGGGGGTCACATGTTCAGGCATTCCTCAAAGCCCAGCAGTCTCATGGAGTTCATTGGAAACAGGGACAGGATAGATACTGAGGTGGGGGTCAGGGGGCTGGTATAGGAGTAGACACCACAGGAGCAGGCGACCTGGTGGAGGCTCAGACCAGGCTCAGGGTGATAAGGAGCAGAGGAAGATTACCCAGGTGGGCTGAGGGGGACCCCGATGGTCCTGATTAACATCTTCCTGGCTGGTCCAGAACCAGGCGTCAGTGAAAGAGGAGAAGGAGGGGCCCAGATCCCCACCTCCATCACCTGTACCTCCAGACTTCGGGGTGTGGGGCAGTGTGGGAGGAGTCTCCAGAAGCCCCGCCCTGCCACCCTCCCAGGCACACGTGTTCCACAGGCTGGGCGGGGTGGACCGCAGCAGGGTCTGGGCGCCCCGCCCACCTTTCTACTGGCCTAAGCCCCAGCCATCTGAGCAGACCACGCGCTCAGATGTGCGTGTGCAGCGGGGAAGCTGGGGGTGTGCGGGCAGGCGACTGTGGGGGAGAGCGAGCCGTGGCCGTGGGCGGGGAGCGCGGGCGGATGCCCTGCGCCTTCATGTAGGACACCAGCTGGTCGGGGATCTCGGCCAGCACGTCGCGGGCCAGGCGCGCCATGCTCAGCACGTGGTTGCCCGTGCGATCCACGTAGTCCCTGAAGGGCACGAACTGTCCAGCAGGGGGAGGCAGGGTGAGGCCGGGTCTCCCTCTGGACACCAGCCCCCATCCCCCAAATCTCCAGGCCTGGGCTCCTGTCCCACCCTTCCTCAGCCTCTGCCCAGCTTGACTCAAACCTTCAACGTAGTGATTCTCTGAAGGGCTGTATCATAGTCATTATTCTTTCATTCACTCAACAAATAACTTCTTGAACACCTGTTCATGCCAGGATACGCCCCTGAACAAGATTCCTTAATCTCTGATTAAGTCTCAGCGCCAAGCTGAGGCACTTAGCAGACACCCCTGGTTTCTGGGAAATGGACCCCGCGGGTCTCCTCCCACTTCTGCAGCAGAGCCCTCTGTCTCTTTGGGTTCCCTTCCTGGCCCAACACCTACA